TTTCAGCTTTCTAGCTCTTCAACAAACATGATTTCTGGTATATCGGAAAATGCATTTTCCGATTTGCCACGCCCCTAGTGGGCGGATCGGGAAAATTTTAACACTTTATAAATCGGAGATATACACGAGTATGTGTTCCAAATTTCAAGTCTCTAGCTTTAATAGCGCCGAAATAGATTGCGTTCATACGGACAGACGGACAGACGGACAGACGGACGGACAGCAAGACGGACATTGCACAAAACCAATATACTGATTCACTTTCGTGAATGAGTATAAAAAAACCAGACCTTGTTCAAAATTTTAAATGCAGGTCAAAATTTGTATACAAACTAATGCCCGCATATATGCATACTTTAAAAATTACTCACAAATATATATAGATTCATAAACATATAAACATATTCGATTCGTAGCGTTGTCGTTTTTGCATTTGCATTTCCGTTCAGAATTTACTTTAGACGAGGCGTTTTAAAACGCTAGCGTTTTTTGCCGCCTTACATTTTAGCGAAAGTGCGAAGCTTAAAAGTAGATTTCGTATGATCTATAATATATTTTATGTACATACACATACACATCTTAGATATACATACATATCTCGTATATACCGCATTTGCCTGGCACGACTTTAGACGCGCGCGTTTTCTGCGCGTTTTTAGCCGCTTAGCTCAATGCAAAAAATTTTACTATTACTTCAAGTGAAAGTTCAGTCGATTGTGGGTGATGTCCAACCTACCTCACCGCACCAACAACCCATCCAACCCACCAGCTTGACACTCAAGAGTAAAAATAAAAAGTATAGCCCACTTTACACTCACCTGTTGCTGCTGCTGCTGCTGCTAATTGTTGTTCTTTTTTGTAGTTTTATTTTTTATTAATATATTTTTTTTTCAACCGGTTGTAATATGTTGTTGTTTTTCTTGGTTGGAACTTGTTCAATTTGGTTTTGTTTTTCACGTTTTTCTACGTCTCTGCGCTTCAAATATGAATCGAAAATAAACCAAGTTTATTAGTTGCTCTCAAACTGTGACTATCAATGGCTCGCCAACTGTGAAAGCTGTGAGCATACACAGGTTACACAGTGCTAGTTACTCTAGAACTGTAAGCAGCAATGACTTAAAAACTGTAAACGTTAATGTCTTCAAGGCTTTCAAACCCCCAAACAAACAAAAAACAAACAAACAAATATTGCAATGCAATGGCATGCTCCATATTGCTATGTAAACACAGGGTATACGGTATGCCACAAATGGGCAGATAAAATGCTCGTGTGTGTGTGTGTGTGTGTGTGTGTGTGTGTGTATCTACATATTTGTGTATCTTATCTAATCGTGTGCCTTGAGCAATTTCTCATTATCAACTGATAAGAACGACGGCTGTGCCTCAAAATCGATCGCTGTGGTTACAAATTGTTGCTCTTCTTCTTCTTCTTCTACGACCACTAGTTGTTGCTGTCATTGTTGCTTTGTTGTTATTGTTTGTTAATATGCCGGAAACATCGTTTGTAACTTTAGTCATCAGCAATTCTGAGCCGTATTCAGAATTTAGCCAATGAGCTCATGACAAAATGTTTCACTCAGATGACGTCATGGCCAACAGCATTGAACTTGATCGAGAATTTTATATGGGAGAAAAAACAAAAACAAAAAACTAATTGAGAGTTCGTGAGGTCTGATGCAGAGAGAGAGAGAGAGCGAAATATTAGAAGAGATGATTCATAAAATATATAATGAATACGAAGTGACGTCAACAAATAGTTACTAACAAAAATAATAATAATTGAATTACACTTGAATTGTTTATGTATTTTGTTAAAAAAAAATATATTTAAAAAAAAAAAAAAAAAAAAAAAAAACAATAAACTGCTAAAAGTCACAGATCAAAAACCAGCTAAACGAGCAGCTGGTTTACCTTCAGAGATCGCTATTCAAATTGGAACAATTGTTGAGTGCACGGACACACACACACACACACACACAGAAATATATAGCCAAAAGAGACATGGATATAGACAAGTACACTTGGAAAAATTGCACTAAAACAAAAAAACAAAAAAAAAAACACACAACAAAAACAACAAGTATATAAACAGCACGCACACACGATTCTTGTCTCATCTCCCTCTGCTGTTGTGTGTGTGTGTGTTGAGTATTAAATTACGCATGCATGCGCGTCTATTTTTAATAAATTTTTACCGTTGTTTACGTCCTGTTGCGCGCGTCGCTTACAATGTAAATACACGGAGTACGCGCGTAAAATGCCGGCTGCGAGTCGTATCCAAAACAAAAGCTCGCGCAACGCACACCACGACCGTTCCGTTCAATGAATTAATTTCAACTGAATTGTCGTTGCCATTATCGGACGAGCCATTGTATCGATAGACATAAGGTAACACATCGAGTAAGTATCGATGTCAAAGCTTTCGCAAATGCTTTTCGGTATATTTATGATACTGCTTACTGTATAAAGTGATTTGTCTGGCAACAAACAATCAAATTAATCAGCAATTTTTTATTTTTTATTTTGTGAATTTTGTATTTGGTTTCATTGGCATCATGGGGAAACCTTTCATTTCAAACGAATCAGGCGCCATAAGTAAAGTAATCGATGGTTACGCATCTACTCAATTTTGTAGGTAAAAGCTTACAAAAAGTGACTCACAGATGGCGCTAGCATGATTTGGCGGGTAATAACTATAAATTCGCTTCAATTGGAAATTGTGGAATATTAATAAAATCACATTTATTTGGAGTATATTCAATTTAATGACGCCCAAAACAACAAACCAGACACGAAACGTTGCAGTTTGCATTTTGTTAATAACGTATTATCTTTCATCGCGAGCTGGCAAAGTATATTTATGAAGCAAACAGCAGTCTATTTTCAAGCCAGAGCCGCAGCTCGGAAAAGTGCTGAGCAAAAAGAGACAAAAAGGCTAGTCAGAAGCTAGGTCTGGAAAAGTGCTAAAAATTAGCCAGTCAGAATTAAGAGTTTGAACAGTGAGTAGTAGAAGAGATCGACGGAAAAACTTGGAGAAAATGCTAAAATCTTCGTTATTACTCCTTTTGGGCTTCGCGATGACGCCACCTGGGTGCGCTACGGGTAAGCTACAAATTGATCTTCGCTTAAAATTCGATTTAATATGAATACATCATTTTATTGATAGTTGCTCAGCCTATAATGTGTCGCCCGCAATCGCAGCGCAACATCATCTTTCCCAAGGAGACCTTCGACGAATGCTTTCTGGATGAAGAACAGAAGATTCCAGGAACCTGTAAACTGCTGCAGGATTGCCCCGCTGCCCTAAAGCAAGCAATGCCCAAGACCTGTTACTTTGTCAAATTCGATCAGTATGTGTGCTGTGCCTCCAACTCGTGCCAACCAAAGGTCCTATTTGCTGTGGGTGGCCATCCGACCCTACCCCGGGAGTTTCCCTTTATGGCCGCCCTCGGCTGGCGCTCCAACTTCGATCAAAGCATTTACTATCGCTGTGGCGGCAGTCTCATAGCGCCCAATTTCGTGCTCACAGCGGCGCACTGCATCGACTTTGGTGGACAGAGGCCCGTAATAGTGCGACTAGGCGGCGATAATCTGACCGTTAGCATGGATGCAGTTCATCACGATTATCGAATCCGTCGTATATTTATCCATCCCGGCTACAACGAGAATACCGCCTACAATGATATTGCGCTGCTTGAGCTGGAAGGGCACGTGCCACCCATTCTACGGCCCGTCTGTCTCTGGCAGGATGCGAAGTTGGCCAAGAAGGATCTGATTGCCGTTGGCTACGGGCAGATAAGCTTTGCGGGTCTCTCCTCGTCGCAGTTGCTCAAGGTGGATCTACAGCACATCAGCAACGACCAGTGCCGAGAATACTACTCACGCGAACAGCTACCCAAGGGCCTGGCTGCCAGCCAAGTGTGTGCCGGCGACTTGAGCGGCAAGGCTGACACCTGCCAGGGTGACTCCGGTGGGCCGCTGGTCATGAGACTTGATGGCAGCACATGGTATCTGGTGGGCATCACGTCGTTGGGCCAGGGCTGTGCCATCGGCCCGCCCAGCATCTATACGCGCGTGTCCAGCTATTTGGACTGGATCGAGAGCATTGTCTGGCCCCAGTCGGAGGATCAGACAGTGGATCCCACGTTCGATCTGCGCATATCCTTCTGAGAGCTGAGTGCCGGGAAGTCACAGCTCTCGCTTGGGAACGACCCACATTCATTCAATAAGCGGGAATTTACCGCTGATTCATCTATTTTCAAACGTTACTCAAGCGGCAAGTCTGTGCTTCACCGATCAATCAATTGGAGCATGGAATCTTTATTTAATTGTCGATTGTCTTCATTAAATATATTTATTTTGTATTTATTTTCCAATTTCTTATTGAGTTTTCATTACTTGTAAATGTTAATTCATTCAAAAAATGCGAATTAATTTTTTAACTATGTTAGTTTTTATTATTTATGTCTTATATACATACATACATATGTATATATATAGTGTATAATATTATTATGGGAAGCACTCGGGGTGTGCTTTCCAGAGTTTCCTTCTGCATATTTTTATGAAGCATACTTTTAGATGCCATCCATATAAATATACCCAAGGAATGCTGCACGCAAAACCGGTAAAGTAGATAACGATTATACTTGATGTGAAATTCGAATCTTGAATAATAAGAAATAAATAATT